TCCAGTTTCCGGTTTTTAATCCGGTCACGGTCCAAATAGCCACCCCTAATCACATTCTAGACGACAATTGGATGGTCGACAGCGACATGGAGCCCCCAGATGTCCCAATATGGGGTCCACTCACTGGGTTTATGAAGGGCCAACAATTTGGCTTGAAGAAGGAGGTGCGGCACGCCATTGAGACTGAAGCAATGACTCTGCATTTTGAATGGCACACAACTCATTCCAACACTAAAAGGCTCATAGTCAGATGTCCTAATCATCACGAGGGGTGCAATGTTAGGATTCGGGCCATCAACAGCAAGAGACATGACCACTGGGTCATATCCCGTGCGGTGAACACACATACATGTGTGTCATCCATAACTTCCCAAGGCCATCGACAGTTGAAATCCAGGGTGGTTGTTGCGGCTATCAAGCATCTAATTGAGCAAGATCTGGACCTGAAGGTGAAAGTCATAATCGCTGACATTGCAAGTCGTTATGGTTATATGATTAACTATAAGAAGGTGTGGCATGGAAAGCAGAAAGCTCTGGCCGCCGTCTTTGGTGATTGGGAAGAATCATATGCATTCCTTCCCAGGTTAATTTTGGCATTGGAGGCGTCTAATCCTGGCACGGTTTTCTCCCCTCGATACCAAGATGAAGAGATACAACCCCCAGAGCCAGGTAACAAATGCCATTTCAGACGACTTTTTTGGGCATTCAAGCTATCTATTGATGGTTTTGACTTCTGTGATCCAAGTGGATGGTACATTCCTTACCGGCAAGTACAAGGGCACTCTCCTGATTGCCAGTGGTGCAAATAGACAAGTCTTTCCTTTAGCCTTCGCCATTGTTGAGGGAGAAAATGCTGATAGCTATGGATGGTTTTTCCGGCAAATTCAGCTCCACGTTACTAGGAGGACAAACCTGACAATAATCTCTGATCGGCACGCCGACATTAGAGCTGCCATTTTAGATTTAGATCCAGCCTGGAAGTGGTCCCAAAGGTGGTGCATACGACACTTCAAGAGCAATTGGAACCATCATTTCAAGCGGAAGAAGCTTGCTGATAATTTGTGATGGATTGGTAAGTTCTCTATTAGCCGTTTAATTTTGGCAGCTAACAATGTCTTGTAACCAGGAGAGTGGTGCACTTGTTACTGTTTCTAAAGAGATGCATGCCTAAGGAAATGAGGTTTTAAGCGATTATCATGGTCCTCACATTTTGGTCGTACAAGTCGGTTAGATCCAACGGTCCTTGCTCGAGATAATACCGTTGGTTGTATATATCCACGTCTTCCGCAACCTACGAGAAAATAACAACGAGGTTAGTACATAGATTAATTAAAAAACTTATAACAACAACAAAAATTAAACCAGAATAATGAGTACGTACCGCTAGAAATTCATCAACATAAACTCCCTCTACTTGCCACCAATTGCTCATTTTTTCGGGAAATTCGAACAAAGGTTCGGCTCGGCTTGGCGGGTTTTGAGGAAAAAACCTAAGAAATGTTTTCTGATGGCAGATCGGACTTAGCCGTAACCAACATGCCACTATTTCCTAGGCTTTTGGGAAGGGAGGGTTTAGAGAGATAATTCTAGAGAGAGAGAGAGTGGAGAATGGTTGTGGTGTGAAGAAATGAGGGGGGGGGGGGGGGGAGGGGGTATTTATACCCATAAGACCGCACCCCCCAGGGACGGTCGGGTAATTTTGGCCCACTTAAAACCGCTACTTGCCGAGGCGGTTTGCGAGCCACGAGGCGCTGACCGCGCCTTGCAGCTGCGGTCCTCGATCCATGGCGTGGATCGCTCTGCTGGCGCGTGGTCCGCCGTACGATCGCTCCTCCATCCAACAGTCTTGAAGACCGTTCCGTAGAGAAGGCACACCGCACCTTCCTAGTGCGGTTCGCGTGCTGACGTGGCATGGAACGCACCCATAAGGTGCGGTTTATAAGTAAAACGCACCTTAGGGGTGCGTTCCATTAAAAAGGGTGCTATTTATGTCAATTTTTTCGGCTGGGTGCTAGTTTTGTAATTTTTTTTAAACTTGCTATTATTGGAAAAATCCCGAAGAATTGGGGGACTGACTCCGGCGTATTTTTTAGGCTAACCGACTCTTTCCAACGGTAATAATTTGTCGACCCACTCGCTACGATGATCACTCTATAAAACAGAAATATTTCCTGGCCTATTTTTCACTCAGTCAGATACGAGAAGCGTCCGATCCTAGGGTTTCGTGGTGGCAGTAGTTTTGGGATCCCGGTTGTCGTGATGTCGCTTTCTGTATGTTGTTGTGGCTTTGTTAGGGTTCGGTGTAAGGCGACGCTTCTCTCTCAGTCCGTGTCTCTAGTGTGAAGGATGTCGCCGACGAATGAGCCTTTGATGGTGCCCTAGGTTTCTTCTTGATTAAGTGGTACACTATTTTATCATCTTCTCTTTGTTGCCTCCCCTTCTTTTCCATTTCGATTGCATCGGTTTAATTTCTACACATTTCCTTCTTGGTCGAAGGGCTAGTTCTCTTATTTGTCCTGTGGCATCTAGCGATGTTGATGAAGTGAGATTAGTGGGTTGAAAAGGGGGTCATATGAGGGTAACTTTTGACTGTTCTTGGAGACAAAAATTTGGGCTGCCATGTTCTCGCCGATATCCAAATTGTGGATTTTCGACAGTTGGTTCCAGAATCACAAATTGGTTTGTTGCGTATGAACAATTCTAGTTTCTTTATTCCTCTTTCATAAGCACTAGTTTTATTTGCCAAATACTGCACTTTATAGCTGTTTACTTGACAAAAATTTCATTAAGCAAGCACCTAAAAGGAAGTTCTAGAAGAGAACCATGTCTGGTGATCACTCTTCTGCATATGTTAACCATCTAACATGCCATCAATATGCCTGAGCATCAGTATGAGAGCTGTTTCACATCATGTTTGCTGCCATTATCTAAGCCAGAATTGTATTCTTTGTGAAGTGAAACATTGCAAGTCCTCGTTTCCCTTGTGTCAATTTTTTCGGAGAGAGCTTTTATGTAGCGACATGTATATTTGGGAGTAATATGAACGAAACGTGTTGCTTATGAAACATTTGTTGGTTTTGTTTCAGCGCTTCAGTTCTAAATGAAGTCTTTAGAATCCTTCTAGATTTGACAGAGTTCATAGAAGGTAGCATTGTTAATTGGTCGTCGACAGATTCGAAACATATTATTGAATAATGCGAGCTTGCACGGATACGAGCCTATTTGGTTTCTTAAGGCCCTAGAAGGGAATTATGTTGTCATAATTGCCCTTCTGCCTTAAGTAATGATTAGCTGTGGCGGTTTTCTAAATGGAAAGTTACAAGGTCCTAGATGGGTGATTAGTCATGATTGCCCATTTGCCTTGAGTAAATATTGGTATTGGAAAGACTGTGTCCAGCCCCACATGGATGCTTCCATCGTTGAACTGCTACTTGTGACCTTCAGTAGCCTTTGGTAATTGATTTTCCAGGTCGATAAAAGGAGAAGGCTTCATACTGCCTGTCTCATCCAGGAGTTCTTTTTTTTATATATATAAAACAAAGAAAAGCTAGTGATCTTTAGTGTTAGAAACCTTGATCTAGGCGTGCATGACTAGGATTCACCAATCGAAGAAGAGCTAGTGATCACAAGTAATAAGGGATTTAGGGATTAGAATATAGCAATTGGGGATGAGAGGAAGGGAATTTTGTGGGGAAAGAAGGAAGAAGAAGTCTACCCTTGGTTGAGTTCGATGGCATCAAAGGAAAGAGGAAGAGAGAGTTGGCCGAGGGAAGGGAGAGAGAGGAAGAGGTAGGGTTTAGGGAATTATTGTTTTGTAATTGCCTGCCTCCTAATCTCACGATTACAGAATATATATAATTCGATAATTTCCTATAACTACCCGATATTTCCTTATTACCCTATAATCCCCAAATAATCTGAAAATGCCCGACTATAACATATGAGGTCCTCAAATTAATAATAAATCGACAAACAAGTTCAACTCCTAGATTATTAGAAACTGGGTTTCTAACAATCCATCCCCCTTAAGACCAATCTTGCCCTCAAGATTGGCCATCGCCCTTCTCGACGTTCGGCTCCTCCGGCGCGCCTTCCCCCGCCAGCTCCTATGCCTCGTCCTCCCAATAGCCCACTAGCAACATCAAATGTCCCTTTGCGCACTGGTGGCCGATCGTGTATCGCTCATCGCAATTGAAGCAGCGACCCTCCCTACGCTTCTGTTCCATCTCTGCTGGTGTCATCTTCACGAACCCTCTCGGAGGCAAACGAGCCGGTATTCGCCCTCCAGGTGGAAACCCCGTGCTCACCGGGTTTTTTGCTCCGACCGTGGGTGCAGCCCCTAGTTCCTGGACTCATAGTCCCTCCAGTCCCTCCTCCGGACCCTCAAGCCATCCGTGTCACGCGAACACCGCCTCCCTTCCAGCTAGCTAATTCTTCTTCCTTATGACCTGCAAGTCTAAAAACAACTCACAAAGAGTTAGGTTCAAAAACTTTGACCGTTGTTGCCAGCTCTGGTCGTAACCATGCCATGCACAATCCCACCAATGTTTCTTCCCCCATTTCCTTGCACTGGTTACCCAGCTTCAGGAACTCTGACCGGTATTCTGCAACAGTGTCGGTCTGCTTAAGCTTAGCCAACTGCTCGAGGGCCCACCCTTCAGCTTTGCCGAACTGGTACCTGAGTTCTTCCTGGAATCAGGCCCATGTGATCTCCGTACCTGCTGCAGCATAAGACCTTTCCATCCATTCCCACCACTGCAACGCATCCCCTTTCAGATAAAAGGATGCCAGGGTGGCCTTTCTCTCCTCCCGTGTCGCGTGGTTTCTAAACCACCTCTCCACTGCATACAACCATAAACCCACATCTCCATGCCCATCAAATTTAGGAAACTCAATCACAGGCGGCTTAACTCGAAAAACCAGTTCATCATGACTTTCAAACATGGGGTTATACTCGCCATACCTGCCTGTGCTATAGGAAGGGAATCCTCTGCCCCCGCTAGGGTCATGTCCTGTGCCGCCCCAGTGAGACTGTGGAAACGACCAGCCATCGCGTCCTCCCATGTGCTCTCCATGCTCCCCAGTTTTGACTTCCGACCCCTGCCCTGCCTCCCAGGTACGCCCAATCCCCTTGTCGCCCTCCACTGCTGCTGCCCGCTGGAGTCCGGGCCGGCTCAATTTGAAAAGAACCAGTTCGACTCTGGTTGGACCAGTTTGGTCGGCCCGGTTGGCGCTCGACCCAGCAGCCCGTCCGAGTTCGGGCTCATGACCCAGTCCAACCCAGCTCCGGGTGGCCTTGGATTGGCCCAGTTCCCGCCGTAACCCGCTAGGCTAAGCTCCTCCTCTGTCCGGTCGCGATGGGGCCAAGATAGCCCATCCATCCGCCCGGCCCATGAACGTCCCATCCGAACCCCCAGGGTTCCGGCCCGAACTCGCTCTTGACACCCTCTTACCCGACCGCCTTCCCTTTACCCCGAGCCGTCGCAATTTCCTGGGCCGTGGGCCTGAGCGGCAGACCCGCTCCAGGAGTGGGCCAACGTTTCCTTGGCCCGTGCGACTAGATTTTCTAGCCACCACTGCACGTCCCGCCCCGCTGCCCTGCACCACCGCGACCTTGCTCAGCGCCGCCTCGGCCGCCGACCTCGTCGGCTCTGTCGGCTCCGTCGGTTCATGTGGTCGGGGCTCCTGGGTCCGCTGCTCCACCATATTCTCCAGCACCTTCTCCATCATCGTTCGGAACCCAGCCAACTCCTTGCCGATACGATGGTTAGAGTCCTCGATGCGCGCTCCCACGATCTGCATCCATCTGATTGTCCGCAATCTTGTTCATGAAACCCAACATCGTTTCATGTTTGGTGTTATCCTTTACAACGCTCTTTCTGTGCCGCCTTTTGCGTCTTGTCCGCTCCAGATGACATCTTGTTTGATCCTCCTTGAACCTGCACGCCAGTCAGGCTCTGATACCACTATTAGAAACCTTTATCTAGGCGTGCATGACTAGGGTTCACCAATCGAAGAAGAGCTAGTGATCACAAGTAATGAGGGATTTAGGGATTATAATATAGCAATTGGGGATGAGAGGAAGGGAATTTGGTGGGGAAAGAAGGAAGAAGTCACTCCCTTGGTTCAGGTCGACGGCAGCAAAGGGAAGAGGAAGAGAGAGTTGGCTGAGGGAAGGGAGAGAGAGGAAGAGGTAGGGTTTGGGAAATTATTGTTCTGTAATTGCCTGCCTCCAAATCTTACGATTCCAAAATATATATAATCCGATAATTCCCTATAACTACCTGATATTTCCTTATTACCCTATAATCCCCAAATAATCCGAAAATGCTCGACTATAACGTATGAGGTCCTCAAATTAATAATATTCCGACAAACACGTTCAACTTCTAGATTATTAGAAACTGGGTTTCTAACAAGTTCAACTCCTTTAGTCTTTAGAATATCAATTTTGTTTCCTGCAATTAGATGTGCTTTGTTGATGCATTTCTGTTTTGATCTGTAATTTTATTTTATAAGGGTGATATCAATTTATCCGACAGAGAATTTGACACAACCCGAATATCACACTTAATTCCCACCTAAAGTCCAAGTATAAACCTTAAACGGGTGCAACATAGGGCAAATATCAACCTGGGCCAGTCCATGCACCCCTACTTCGATTGTTTGAAACATTATCTAGCGGAATGAAGTTTGTGAAAATCTCTACAATCTACGATTAAAATTGCAAGACTTGAAAAGTAAAAGGATTGGAACTCTTGGTGAGAAGCTTCACTCGGGAATTATTTCCCCCTAACTAACTACCATGAACCATGGGATCGAATGAATCGGTGTGCGACAAGGCGATTGTGAACCCCTAGGAGGAGCAACAATGGTTAGAAACCACACTTTCAATTGCTAGGCCAAGGAAACATTATAGGCTACAATTGTAGCCCTCTTGGCCCAAGCAATTGAGGGTTGACTTACCTTCTCCCTCAAACCGGGGTTTGGACGGCTTAATCACAATTAGCCTAGTTGTTCAATTTGAGTTTGGAGGTTTGCCCTACATTGACCTAGTTAGGAGGCATGGAATGCCCAAGAAAACCCAGCTCGATTTGAGCCTCTTAAGTTAAGAGGGTTTCCCTCTACGTTAGGTTAGAATAGCACAATAGATTTCCAAGCACCACAATGCACAATCACCATGAAAATACCTCAAATCTTAAATTAAACACCACCCACACACAATCATTCAATCCACACAATCGACTACCTGGTAGAAGTTAGGGTTCTACAACACCCAAGTGAAAAGGAGACTACTACATGCTAGAAAAAGGAAGAATACAAAGGAAAGGGGGAAAACCATTATTGTGATGCATCAATCCTTCCTTGTGTTTGTAGAGATCATCTCTTGAAGAGGAACTTCCCAAATCTTGACTTGGAGCAAACCCTAGCTTATTCTCCCTCTTGGTTCGTGGCTTTCTCTCTCTAGGTTTTCAAGAAGAAGATGAAGGTTTCTCTCACTTTGGGATTCCCTTTCTTCCTCCTGTCAGCACCCTTTTATACATTGGTTGCGCCTAGTTCATGGCCGTGAACAACTGGCGGGGACCGTGAACTCAGTCCAAAACGCATCGCTTCACTTCACGAGTTCGCGGTCCATGGCTTCAGTTCACGGTCAGTAACCTCTGAAAACTCTCTAGAACCTCGCCAATTGGTGGTTTGTGGCTCTAGTTCACGGTCCTAATGACCGTGAACTCACTTCCCTGACCGTGAACTGCGGCTACTACCTCCTCTTTGCTCGATCCTCTCGCCTTTTCTTCCAACTTTCGACTCCGGGGTTGGTTCCACTTGTTAGACTCTGGAACACATTTAAACACAGAAAACCTAGCATAAAATCACCCTTTTTAGAGCTCAAATGCCACAAACATCAAAGAGAAACGGGGATAAAAAGTGTACATTTAGGCCCGAATCACTCCCCCAAAGTTATCGTTTGCTTGTCCCCAAGAAAACCATTTAACACAAGGTAATATCTCAACCTAAACAAAAAATACTTTGGGGACAAGTCAAAGGGCACAAAGTGGGGAATCTCAATGGCTATTAGTAATTAACACATGGTTGCAAGCGATACCAACATCCACCACAAATGACATTCGAGACCACCAAAAATGGACAAACGAAAAGTTCTCACCTTGTTCATGAATCAATGCAAGTCTCAACAAGATCACTCATCAACCACAACTAACCATGCATTACATAAAAGTCCAAGGAATAAACGAATGGGCAACAAAGGTCCTCACTAGGGTATAGTATGACATGCAAAACAAGAATGAATCACTCACTCTCTTGATAAATGGGGTTCGGACCATTTGGTACAAAAAATGTGCACAATCATCAACACTCGGCCCTATCGTCTCTTCACCACGATGAAAACCTCTAAATGCTAGAGTTCACGGGACGATTGTCATCACTAGCGTGTCCGGAGGTCTTAGACAATAGTTCAAATGACTGGAAATTGTTTTGGACATGGGGAAAAGGCCTTTTGGGTGGTGGCAAACACAACATGAGTTCCTACACCTTTACCCTAAAACCGAAGGTTCTACAGCTTCGACTAAGAACCTTCCTTACACACAACGACCACTAGCATCGACCAAAAACCTTACTTCCTCCCTTACAAACTATCACCCATCATGAACTTCATTCAAGCACACTTCATCGATCTATTCTTGCTATCACATTTCAAACATAGTAGTGAAGGATTCAACTACAATTTGGGTGTTTCAATGACTTGAGTTCCAAGAAACCCTTCTTAGAACATACAATTTGATTTTTTTTGCGGCACTCTCTACTTTATTTACCCCGTTTTATAACCTCTTGTTCGATTCTTTTTCTTTCGACTTTCATTTTCTTTCTTTTTCTCTTTTCTTTTCTTTTTGAGGGGGGTACTAGAGAGTAAAACACTTGCCACATTAACATTTAAACAATCAATGCTCTCTTTGTAGAACTTACTCCAACACCACTCTTTTTCTCTCTCATTTCTAGCAAGAAACCACGCAAAAGCCTCCTATGTAGAACCTCAATAGAGCTCCTGAGCACGAGCTCCATGACACAAGGAAGACTCACGTATAGACACGAAGAAAGGATGGGGGTCGTTCTATCAAACACCATTAAGCTCACAAGCAAAAAGCTCCTACAAGAGAATGACCCCCAAAGTCATAAGGCTCAAAGGGGTTGACTAGGAGATAGAACATTTCGGGACAATCAACATTTGGGTGTGGACTAATCCTCTGCCTTCGTCATACTCACTAGTGAAAACTGTGATGTTACTCGCTATGGTAAGAGGTATCTAAGCACACAAGACGAAAACGATCTTCTCAAAACTCACATGGCTATCTAGTCACCCAACTATCTCTTCCAATTCACAAAACACAATGCATGGCAATTGTAATCAACAAGTAATCCAGTCAAGACATCCATTCATTTTTGCACACATGAGAACTAAACCTTTCGACTATCCTAACACACCTCTCATTCATCACCATAGGACACACTCGATAACATGCAACAATTCAAGGTCAATGCCAATAAATACGAGATTCTCCCACAAACCGACCACTTTAATCATGCAAGCATTGCTTGGATCCCTCAAATTTTTAAAATTTGGGCATACATCAAGGTTCCAAGCATTAAATCACACTCACACAAGCATAATAATAAACTATCCACCCCCCCCCCCCCCACACACACACACTTAAGCTCGACATTGGCCTCAATGGTTTAAGATAGCAGTAGAACGATGTTACAACATGCCTTGGTGAGTGAAAGTTAGAATTTGTTTTCCCATGGTAGTAGATTGGAGCTTCAAGGAGAAGACAAAAGCAAACACAAACACACACATTCTCTCTCGAGGCGAGGTTATTATACAACGTGGGTCTCAAGTGGAGAAGTGGGGCAAAAGAAGTCGGCTCTGCCACATGTCTCACTCGTCGGCTAGCTCTCACAGGTTGAAGGCCCCGACTCATCATTTGGAAGGATACCCTGGGTACGAGCTATCCGCTCTAGCAACAATGGTTAGAAACCACACTCTCAATTGCTAGGCCAAGGAACATTATAGGCTACAATTGTAGCCCTCTTGGACCAAGCAATTGAGGGTTGACTTACCTTCTCCCTCAAACCGCGGTTTGGACGGCTTAATCACAATTAGCCTAGGTTTTTAATTTGAGTTTGGAGGTTTGCCCTACATTGACCTATTTAGGAGGCATGGAATTCTCAAGAAAATCCAGCTCGATTTGAGCCTCTTAAGTTAATAGGGTTTCCCTCTAAGCTAGGTTAGAATAGCACAATAGATTTCCAAGCACACACAATGCACAATCACCATGAAAAATACCTCAAATCTTAAATTAAACACCACCCACACACAATCATTCAATCCACACAAAGGAAAGGGGGAAAATACATGCTAGAAAAAGGAAGAACACAAAGGAAAGGGGGGGGGGGGGGGAACATCATTGTGATGCCTCAATCCTTCCTTGTGCTTGTAGAGATCCTCTCTTGAGGAGGAACTTCCCAATTCTTGGGAAAATATGTTTAAATATCAACCCGAGCCGGTTCATGTACCCTTACTTCAATTGTTTGAAGCATTATCTAGCGGAATGAAGTTTGCTTACTTCAATTCTTGAGAATTGTCGCAACGACTCACAAATGTGTAGGCGTCCCATAATAGAGACAACCAGTACAATCCCGATTGAAGCACCTTCCTTGCAGTTCAGTTGGCACCATGATGGCCTCCAGCTGGTCCCTCGTGGCAGTGGCTTAGGATAGCCGTAATTTCCATCTCCGGTACACACCTCTGAATGACCCTATCAGCGCTGATCCGAAAAGGATGGGGATCATCCC